ACACCCGCCCCCATACTAATACTGCAATACAAAACTTGAACCGGACTGCAACACTTCAAGTGAGGGTCTACGACACAAAAAGCTTGGGGCCACGTGCCACAGATGAATCGAACAATCAGCTAAGAAAAGCAACGCAAGGTGGCACATGCACGGACACCCACACTCTCACCGTCACCGTATTCAAACTTCACCACCATTAGTGTAAGTAAATGGAACTAAACTTACCTAACGAAATGGTCCATGTAACCTATAAATTTCTCAAAAAAGAAAAAGTTTATATAAAAAAACTCAAGATTGTTTTTATGTTGGAAAACCCTCAAATCAATATCTCCACCTCAAGATTCATAAATGGGTTAAAAAATGAGATTTTTAGTCCTAAAAAAAGTTAACATTCTAATACATTATTTAGACCGTCCATTTTCAAGATTTTCAAGTGTTTAGATATCTACTTGATCGTCACCATTTTTAAAACTTTAAATTTTATAATTGGGGGCAACAATAGATTTTCATATCATCGCAAGGCTTTGCGACACCAAAAATACATTTTCATATAGTTTTGAGGTACACCTTACTTAAATAGTATAAGGTTGACACCTTATACAAAACCTCACCCTTCTATAAGTAACAAGTATACGCCAAGTATCTTGAGATTATCTCTCTAGTCATTAAGGCAAATTCTCACCCAATCTGTTATTCTTTAATCCGGTTTTTATGAGTCCCCCGATTCATACTATTCTCGTGCACGCTTCCTCTAACACCTATTTTTTATATAAATCTTGGATCCAAAATTTGTATAGATCCATGATCTACACTATAATGATCAAGAATATTAAAAATAAATTTTTTTTTAAGGAATTTTAAAAGAAGTCATATCCATTGGATAGGAATCTTTCATTGTGGATGTTCCTCTTAAAGATGACGCTTGTGAGCAGTGTTCGCAAAATCGACCTTGAACGGTTAACCAGAGATGGGCTAGAAGAAATTTAACTAGCCTAACCGGAAACTGGCCATTTCAATTGTTCTAACCGAGAAAGTTCTTAGTGGTCAAAAAATTATTGAAAAAAATAAAAAATATATAAAAAAAATCTACTAAAATATGAAAAATATATAAAGAAATATTAAAACAAAACACATTCAAGTGGAGTTGAAAATTAATGAAAAAAAGGATTTTAAAGAATCGATTTGTGGCTAGGGATATTTTTAAAAGTATCTGAAAAAGATGAGAAAACATAAAAGTAAGTATTAATAACCAAAACAATTTCTAATATTTACCATTATGTAAAGAATATTAAAAAATATATTACAAACTAAATTCCTTATTTTTTATATTTTATATACATTTTTTTGAATTTTTTTTAAATACCGGTCGATCATCAAAACCGCTCGAAACCGAAACCGGCCAATTCCGATCTAACCAGGTCGTTACTGATTAGATCGCCCAGTTTTTCCAACATAGCTTACGAGTCAATGGGCTAGTGAATCCACTTACTCATAAAATGTTTTTTTATAAAAAATTTCACATATTGCAAAATAATATACTTAATGAAAAAGTATAAAAATAAACAATTTACTTTTAACACAACGTTGTCACAATCACGATTATCTGTCAGATTTTAAATCGGGTGGTTGTTAGTGTATCATTGAATATATTCAAAATTCAAAACAAATTTATCGAACTTCATGATATACTTCAAGCCATCCAATTTAACAACCAACGATTACAAGTGATTTTGTGAATTTTTTGAAATAATGATAAATGATCTTGTAGCATACAATCCTAGGAGAATGTACATAAACTGACAATTTATATTTATTGCATAGGAAGACAAGGCTGACAATGGGTCAGGCCAACGCTAGCTACAACAAGGTTTTGGTCTCTCAGTGGCTGGCTAGCCTAAAGAGGCCCAAGCCTAGGTCTGGTCCCGCCAAGCCAAAGCTTGGCCAGGTAAAAATACAATCAAATCAAAAAATAGTAAAAACTAAATTAA